TTCCTAATGGTACTGCAATGTACAAATGGGAGCATACCTGGAATTTGTTAAAACGTCTTTTAATTATAGGCTTATAAGAGACTGAAATGTATGCCTTTTCTAAGTCTCTTGTGTACAAAACAGTCTGGGTTTCTGTCAGTATAAATATTTGACTTGTACTGAAATGACAGGGACAATATCCTGCAAGAGATATATTTTTATTAAGTGTCCAAAAAAGTTTTTGACCTTTCATGTTTAAAAGAAAAGGCGTAGCTTCATTCCACACATACCAGGCAGATCACTATGGAGCTTCGAGAGATGGACCTGTTATTTCCATTGCACATTATCAGGGCTAAACTATTAAATTTACCAAAAAAGAATGAATGAATATATAACATAATGGTGTGTCTGCTGACCTTTAAAGTTATGCACTTCGACTTAACACGTGTTAATACACAGCTGATCTCCTTAACAACAGGAATTCCTCCTAAAGATTTCTTTTCTCTTTAGGTGCTCTGGGAAATCACTCGTTTTTTCTTGCTGGCTATTGAGCTCAGCGTCATCATCTTGGGACTGGCTTTTGGTGAGTTTGTCATGTTGGTTTCAGTTCTCATTTACCATACATTTTATTTTTAGATGTGTAATGTTTCTAGCTTTTTACATGACAAATATGTTTAATATGTTTTTTTTGTTTGTTTTTTTTAATTTTATTTTCAGTGCTAAGTGCAATTAATTTAATGCAGCTGTTTTCCTGTTAAGCATGATTCCTCCTCTGTTCATTAGGCCACCTGGAGAGCAAATCCAGCATAAAGCGTGTGCTGGCTATTACTGCTGTGTTGGCTCTGGCGTACTCAGTCACACAGGTAATGGCAGATGGGAGGTTAAATATAGTTTCAAATGATTACCATCATGACATATTGTGGCAGGAAATTCTGCATGCAGATGAACTGAATAATACATTGTCTCAGGGCACGCTAGAGATACTGTATCCTGACAGTCATCTGTCAGCGGAGGACTTCAACATCTATGGTCACGGGGGCCGGCACTTCTGGCTGGCGAGCTCCTGCTTTTTCTTTCTGGTCAGTAACTCCATTATAATGGCAGCATGAGCAAAAAGATCCTTTACCATAAATGATCAGCCTGTTATCTCATATTTGTCTTTTTTTAAATAGGTGTACTCTTTGATTGTGATCTTACCAAAAACTCCAATAAGAGAAAGGATATCTCTGCCATGTGAGTTAAAAGTTAAATTGCATTAAACAACAAAGTTAAGATTGGAGAAGTAGAATTGCTCCTAACTTTTGATATGATAAAAAAAAAAATGTTACAGTTTTTCAATAGCAGAAGTATTTTTGACCTAATTGGCCACATAAAGTCGTGTCTTGTCTTTTAGAGTTAACTTTTTAAAACCACATCTATACTTACCTCACGCAGTTGTATTTCCCCTGCTGCGTTTGTGTCATTGTCTTCATTTTCACATCCTCACACAGTTGATCAGAAGAGCCATTGTTGTTGACCTTTGCTATATAGTTAGAGTAGTTGGGGGATTTATCAGCAAAGTTCCATAAAGGGTCTTATTTATAGTGAGTCATTATCCACAGTAGAGGCCAGTAGGGGGCGGCAACGAGAGAGCATAGATCATTTTGATGGCTCAAGTTTCCTGACATAAAGGGCAGTAAAAGTATCTTAATTATAGTCAAACTTTCGCATGTCCCACTGGTTTTGTTTTTTGTTTTTTCATCAAGTGAAAATTAACAGACTATAAAGACTAAAAGAGAGAGGGGGGGCACTTTTCTTACTCAAATATCGTTAAAGCCAAACTTGGTATTTAACATATTAAATTTACCTGCAAAGCCCTGATTGATCTCTGTTTGACTTCCTTTCTCCAGCTAAGAGGAGTTTCTACGTCTATGCTGCCATCCTGTCATTGCTGAACCTCGTTCAGGGCCTCGGCAGTGCTCTGTTGTGTGCTGAAGTCATAGAGGGACTATGGTCAGTATTCTGAAGCATATTTGCTTATATTACATCAAAAATACATTATATAGCGCTAAAGCCAATTTAGATTTTTTTTGGTGATTAAAATAAGTAAAATAAGCCTCATATTTAATTTTATGCTTCTAAGAAGAAACAATAGCTGCATTCAGAGCAGCTGTGGCTCTAATGCTTTGTAAGCCTATTAGAAAATGCCCTTGATATGGAGCTGGCTGCCTGTTTTAAAACCTCTTAGTATTTTAATTTTGTTGGCTGAGTTGCACCCACTGGGATGACTCACTGTTTTGCTGGGTCCACCAAAGTTCAGTGGAGTTTATACGGGCGAATCTGAACATAATAGTCAGGCAGCAATCTGTTGGTTATGCTTTTTGTGAAGCTGAGAGCTGAATAAGCTTACTGAGATGGTTTGCTCTTTCTCTTGTGAACCAGCTGTGTGGATGTCACAACGTTCCTGTACTTCTCTGCCTTCGCTCCGCTCATTTATGTCACATTCCTCAAAGGCTTCTTTGGGTATGTAGTCACATGAGATGTAGAGAATAAGAGTGTAATCAGCACTTATTATACATTTGTTTTTTTTTCTTATTAGTTTTTATTTTTTCTACTTCCTTGTTTTTTAAATTCAGCTTTGCTTTTGGTTTAGTTTCCAGGTGAATTTGCTAATTTCAGTTTAGCTTTTTTGTTTGAAAATGTAATATTTTAGTTTGTTTTATTTATTTTGTTTGTTTCAGTGTTAGTTTTAGTCTTTGTAATTATGTTTGTATTGAGGACTTATGTCAGACAGGATTCAGGAAATGTAGCCTATAGATATGACCACGAAGTGGTTTTCTCTTACATCAGTTTAGATGCTTGATTTATTTGATGAGCACTGCAGGAGTTGACAGTTTTCGGTCTGTACAAATAAAAGCTTACTTTTTCCCTCATCTCTGCAGTTCAGAGCCCAAGATCCTATTCTCCTACAAGTCGCAGGTAGATGAGCCAGATGAAAGTGATGTCCACCTTCCTCCAACCATCGCTGCAAACCTTGGTCGTAAGGAGATGAATGACCAGGGCCTGTACTATTCCTCTACCCAGATTGATGGCTCTGGTCCGAGCAGTACTCGCATGGTTGGAGCATACCTGGATGATGTTGCCTCCGGACCCTATGGGTCCAGCAGCGTTAACAGCATTGAAGCTGACCGCTGGAGACCTGTAATTGTGTGAAGGGGTCAAGAGTTGTACAGCTGGACTAAAATTGTTGTGCATGTGTAGTGTTGTCAGCAATATGGGGATCAGTGAAGTTGGTGCAGAACAAAACAGTTGGACACCAAGGAGGGTGATAGTGGTCTTTTTTTGGAGGCCTGAAAGAGTGGGCGCTTAAAACAAACAAACAAACAAAGAAAAAAAACTTATTTCTGAAGGACTGTGAATTTAGCAACTGCTTTTGTAACATTGTCCAGAGTGCATTGCTGCTGCTGCTGCTGCTGCTGCTGCTCCAGCTCCAAACTGGGAGCGCTGCCCCTCATTGTGGCCCCAACAGGCTTGATAATGATTCTGCTCTGCAAGCTCTTATTTCTGGGAGTTTATTGACTCGTCTCACCACATTTTCTGTCATTCCAGCACTAATGCAACAATGAATATCTCAGTTCTCACCGATGATGTTTTAAACCTATTTTAATTACAAAGGTTTATAAAACTGATCAAACATTCTTGTGATGGAAACCTTACATCTGTACATTCCCACTGAAGACTTTCAGTAACAGCATCTCATCTGACTTAAGATTTGTGACCAATCAGGCTAATCAGTTTGCACTGGTCACATTGCTTATTGGAAGCACTTCAAAGACTTGTGCTAATTCATTTGGTATGTGTTGACAAGTAAAACAGTGTTGTTGTGTTGTATGTCACTTCATTATAATAGGGAGCTGCTGAATACAGGCAACGCATTGGTGTTAAAGGTCACAATGTCACAGACACAAAGGACAATTCCTAACAATTGAAGCCAGATCTTGTGGATGACATCTTTTCATTTTTAGTTGGTTTTTTTTTGTGTGCTTTTTACTTTAATTCCAGATTAATCAATGCTGCCAGTGAAATAACATTTGTTGGCAAGTTATGTGTTTGAGATAAAAGACAAAATTTGCACAAACTTATTTGTGTATTCCACGTCAATCTTGTGATTGATACCAGTGGTTTTCCAGTTTTGCTTGCTGCCAAAGGTTGCTGTTGCAGATTTGATTTTTTTCCCCTATATTCAGAGTTACAAATGTTACCACAAGTGGTGAACGTACACCAAAAACAACTGTTTTCATAGTATCAAATGGGGGTATTGATACAGTTTCATTACATAGTTTAAACTTTTGTCTTTTGACAAACAAGGTCAGGCACTGGCATTGGATCATTGTAATACATTGACAAGGATAAGTATATTGCATACTGTTGCCAAGGAAAATACAATATTTGGTATGAGGTGATTGCTGTATTTAAGCTAGCAGTATTCATCAGCATAGTGTTGTAACCAATATGCAAAAAAAAAAAGAAAGAAAAATAGGGGGTTGCAATGATGTTTTTCATCATATGATTCATTTGCATTTTTCCTGATTTAAAATATTTTATCTTCAAATGTAAATTTGTTGTTTTATGTGGGGTAATGGATTAAAATATTCTTTTCCTTTTGTTGGACAAGAGTTCACAAGTTGCATCACAGCAAAATTCCACTCTTGAAAACATTTGATGGTGAAATCCTTTGGAAATGATGTTTAAAATTGCGTTTTTATTGAAGTGCATTTATTGTACAATATTCCAGCCATGTCAAATCAAGGTGTTAAGCATTCCATGAACTGAAGAATAAACAGTGAACTCTTTGTTTCAATTGTTTTTTTTCTACTATCTATTGTGTGTGTGTGTGTGTGTGTGTGTGAGCAAATGCGCTCTGTATGATCTTAAATATACCGCACAGGTCGCATTTTAGATTCGTCAGTCTTGTGTTTAACTACAATTCCCATCAACCCTTCGTCCGTTTACGATAAGCTGCTGTTAGCCATTGGATCTGTAATGTAAAATCTGGCCAATGAGCTTTCAGGATACTGAAGCGTTAAAATGACCTTTATTGGAGTATTTTGACCAGCAGTCGCTGTGGCGGCGACTCGAGCTGCTCTCCAATTTATGTCTTCTTCACATAACAGTCGACTTGGCTTGTATTGCGTGATTTAATTGAGTGGGAACGGAAAACTGGTCAAAATGGGAGGAAACGGGAGCACGGCGAGGAAAGTGTCATTCGGACTGGACGAAGACGAGAAGGTCACAGTAATTGAAGGAGTGAAGGTATAGAGTACAACGTTGTTGCTTTAGGGGTAATTCACACCACAGTTTTAATTATTATTATTATTATTATTATTGTTACGGTATATCGGCTAATGGCAGAGGCAGTAGTGGGATTTTGTGGTGGTATCCGTCTGTCTGCTGCGAGCCTGACAGGTCCAGTGTCCTTAAATGAACCCGGGTCAGAACTTCTTTTTCCTGTCATGTCCAGCTACTGTTGCCCTTTTTCTTAGATTAGTAGGTTATTATTTTATTAGTATAATAATGACTGATAAAATGCTAGCACAGCGGACAATTTCACAGCACTAGGTCACATGAGATGCTGTTGTTATTTCCACAGCAAACCGCTGATAGCTAAGACGCTATGTCAACAACAGCAAACACGTTAAGTCCTTTGCTGTTGTTGACTTCTGTAATCAGAAGTACATGTCATGAAACATGGTGATTGTCATCAACATATTTGCAGTTTTGCAGCATGAGAATATGTAATCTTTTCTATCCATGCAGGCAAATAGCTAGCTAGCATTTGTTTCAATACCTTGTCATTGGATTGGTGAGGTGTACAGAAGTATTTTCTGTGTTATAGGACACTTGAATAGGCTAGGCGATGGACTTTAAACCTCTTAAGATTTAATCTGGTATACATTTACACTGCATTGCATGTGTTTATTAATCCCATCCAGCTCTCAGAAGATGTGCTCCGCAGGATGAGGGAGTCTCAGGGGTCTGATAGCAACAAGCCACCAAAGTCCTTGCCGGACAGTCACAAACCACCACCATCAAGTATGTCGTTGGTCAAAGGCCTTTCCTGTCTCACAAACTTCCCATTTTAACCGCAGCAAATATGTTCCCATGCACTGATTCTTGAGCACAGCATCAAAATATAGTATAATTGCAGTAGATAGCTTTGCCATGATTCATGTCTGAAGGGATCTTATTATACACACCCCTAACCCTGCTGCAAATCCTGCAAACGGGTTCATACTGTCATTTTTATATGCATCAGTAATCCTTATCCAATTGTGTGTTAGGTGCAAAACCATCAGGACTATCTTCTAAAGAAATTCAAGAGGAAATGCGGAAAAAGTAGGTGCTCACAATGTCAAGGTCACTGTTCCCTTGTGTTCATGTTTAGAATTTGTCCTGTAAGTTGCTCTGTTTTGTACACACACTACCTGTTGTTTGTCTGTAGAGGGATCACTCCTCTGGTGCTTTTTCTGAAGTTTCTTCTAGCAGTTACTGACGGGAGCTTTTTTTTTTTTTTTTCCTTACCATGTTCACAAGGCTAAGGACTTGGATTTTACATGCCATAGACTGTAAACCTGTTTGAGACACATTCTTGATTTCAGATATCAAATTGTCACAAATTGAGTTGTATTTCTGTCATAGTTTGTTAAGGAACAGCTGCAGCTGAATACATGTTGAATACATGTAGTTGACAGATATTTGAAATGACGTGCACACAGTGTGCAATGTTTTGCAAACATACACATGCCGAGTGACCTATTGACACTGCCTGTGCTACATTACTCTGTATAACAGGCATGTTTCTGTGCTGTTGGAGTGCCTATATGCTGTGCTGAGCCTCTGAAGACTTGCATATTGAAGTCCAGCAGTTCTTACTCATGCTCATTGCAACAGTAGCTGGACATGCAATGCAGTTAATTTACTCTATGTATATTTTACTTTTCTATCACATTACAGTGGAAAACCATGTGTAACATTCTGGAAGTGACTTCTGTAGGCGTTTTCCACATTTATTTGTAATGCTTTGCATAAAGCAATATCTGTAAAACCTCAGTGGCTGACCCGCTATGCGAACAAAAACTTCAGAGGGCTTTCCATTGCAAAATAAAGTGTCAAAGGTTAATAGATCTCATGTTTCAATTACTTTAGCTTTGAACGTCAACAGGCCATGGTGAAGGAGGAGTTGGCCAAACTGGCCCAGAGGGAGAACGAGAATGCAGCAATCACTGGCCTGGATGAGCTGACCTCTGCCCTCATCATAGAGAAAGGAAAATCCCTCGAAGAGCACGAAAAGTCCAAGATACTGGTGAGTGATGTTTTCTGGATCTATGCCAGGAGCACATTTATTTAAATCTTCACGTCCTGCATAATTTCACTAGACACATCTTGATAAAAATATACTTAATTTGTTAAGGCTTAACCTTGGTAATGCTCTTATATGAATTTAAAGATGTAGGGAGACGTGTTTGTGATTGATTAAAGTTCCAGAAAGTTAAAAAGAGCAGTGTTAATTTGTTGAGATGCTTTGTAGATCTATTTATTTATATTTTTTAGGCTAAGTTAATTGTTCCAAGACTTTAAGATGAAATAATGGCTCAATTTATCATTAAAATTGTAAATTCTAGCAGTAGTATGGATGCAGAGTACTACGCTGATGTAGTGGTAAACAGCACCCTCTACTGCTTTGACTTCGAATACTGAAGCTTTAGTGAAGCAGGGGATATCTGTGTGTCCATGTTTTTGCTCTGCACTTCTGAATAACATGTTTGTAAAAGCAGATAAATCAGATATTTGGATCTTCAAAATCTGATTGTCTTCTTGTTGTTCAGTTAGTAACATTTGTCTTATTGTCATAGTTTGTACATGAAAGCTTAGTTCAGTATATTGCAAAACTCAGTGGTCACAGGTGTTACTATGCTATTTGTGTTTGGCATTGGTTGGAGTTTCTGATGATGTGAGAGCAGCATAAACGTCATGATGGAAATATACAGTTCTTGTAGTGCTTTGTGGCCAGCAATGACTTACTTCAGCAGGTCATGTCAGTAACAAGAATATATGATCACTAAGTGTCTCCTACTATGAATATTAACACTCCACATTAATGTCCTAGTGTTTAATTAAATGTAGGTAATCACGTCTCCCTCGCCTTTTAGAAGCGGCCTGGTATTAACAGCGTGGCAACAATAAACTTGACAATTGGATACAGAACCTGTGATGTTTCAGCATTTTACTGTCTCAAAGCAGGCTTGTTGAAACAAAATGTTGTCTATATTCATAATTTAGACTGGTAATGAGTCAAACTAGCAGTGTGGTGTGTGTAGGATTTCAAACGGAGACGTTGGTGAGTCAGATGTGTGAGGAGTTTGATGTGAGATGGAAAATAATGTCTAAAGGCAGTAAGCTTGACTCAAAGGCTGGAAACCCTCGTGTGTGTGTGTGTGTGTGTCTTAAACAAGTGTGTTAAACTTGGATAGTGTTTCTCTTGTTAGTGACATCTATGTATAATTATGAGCAATGAACTATTGCTGATGATTAATTAGCAGTTCTCTCCCTGGTGGCTTCACTTGGCTCTGCTAAAGTTAAACATTGTGGAATTCCTACAACCCCGTCTCCCTCACTCTCTTTCTCCCCTCCAATTGATTTGTCCTGCAGTGTCTTTTCAGCGTGCCAGCCCGCTGTAATGAATACTGAATGAAGCCGCTGGCTTAGCTTACGCTGATACGGGCACCAAACATTTAATAATGTTGCATTGCAATGAGAAACTGAGCACTTCCCCTCAAAGCCTTGTTTTCTACTTTTTCTGTCAGGACAAGTCAATACAAGGCGTCAGTGTGTGTGAAGCTGTCTGTTTGTGTTCAAGGAGGGATGGACTAAAAGTGTTGCCTGTCTGTGGTTGTAAAGAGCAGAAAAGAAGTGTTGAGGAGACTCTGTCATTGCTTCCAGCGTGTTTGAGAAGGTTGAGCCTCACAGGTGCAAACTATTTAAGTAAAAGGAAAGGGATTTTATTTATTTATTTATTTTTAGCCTTTAGGTGATGATAGAGTTGCTGTAGATAACCTGCACCTAGAGGTTCCCACCTTTTCCTCTTTCCCACTTGTCTTTCTTTTCAGTCTCACCTCTAACTCTCCCTTATTTCTGCTCAGCTAACACATTTATTATTCCTCAGCTTGATTTCTATCCTGCTTAAACTATAACCCATCCTTAATTGACCAAAAACGATAAGACAAAACCTAGAAGACCTTAGTTCTGAGATAATAATAAGATGATAAACATTTTCCTGCTTGTGCTGTATTGCTTCAACTTTTTAGTGCATTCAAAGAACTGATTTAAAAGCTCCTCCATTCTTAGCGGGTGGGCTTCCCTCTCTTCTTTGTATTTTCCATTGACCTTACATTGGAAACGACCTTGCAAAAACGCAGCTGGAGGCTCAAAGAACAGCTTTCCCAAGCCCCCTGTCTTTCCCCATTACACTTTCAAATGCACTTTGTGTAGTTTCTGCGCTTGCCATGTTCCTTAAAGGCAGATGCATTCTCACACACACTTCTGTGACACTCGCCACAGTATATTGGCACATATAGCGCACGCTTCTGGCCTGTTTTCCCCCCTGTGCATTTTTAGCTCTCCAGCATCAAAATTGTGTGTTATGGGGAAATTCTGGTTCAGCTGTGGTGGTGTCCGTGGGCCCATCTAACTGCAGAGACCACATGTGTCTGCGTCTGTTATCAGATGGGGGCAGTATTTAAAAAAAAAAAAAAAAAAAAAAAAAGGGGGTCTGACCAGCGTACTTGTCAGTCAACAGAAAGGGTCATCCATGTTGAACAACATGCAGTTGAGATTTTGGAGGCCTGCACAGGAGCATGTTTGTGTTGGTTGAAAACCCCTCTCCGGAGGCATATGCCTCTGCACACAACCTCAGTAGCATTAAGCATTACTGGTGGGTTGATTAGGGGGGTGTGAAGGCATGTACCCGCTGAAGAGCTGCTCCTCACACTGCCTCAGGCTGCCTGTCACAAACATTCACATTAGCCATTTACCCCACACTCATTACCGACCAACACCACCACCGCCATGAGTATTTGTGTCTGTCTGTGTCATTGCATATGTATACCTGTGCATTAAGCTGGCTCCATCTGCCAATCCACTCATAATGTTGACTCTTTCCATCTACGGCCCATTAATTCTTTCACATTAACTATAATACTATAAGAGTCTAGCTATCTTTTCTTTTACAGACTTGTTAGTTATTTTGGTCAGACTTTTTCACACTTATTCTCCAAATGTGTAACACTTTCTCAAATTGTAGCTGTGCTCTTGCTGTACTCCCCAGTTAACACGGTCTGTTTTAACTAATGATATCATTGTGGAAGAAGTGTGTTTTCAGAAAAGTGCCACTGAAATTTAGGGTAAAGATTAGGACTAATAATAGCTAACAATCCCTATTATTAGAGGAGCTTCTTCTCCTTTTTGCTCGTCCCTTTAGGGATCACCCGAGTGGATCAACTCTCTCCATCTCATCCTCTCGCCCTCCTGTCACGCCAAGTTCCTACACATCCTCCTTCACTACATCTATGAATCTTCTCTATGGCAAAAATATTACACCGGATGCCATTCCTGATGCAGATCCCCATTTATCAAGATTGGGAATGGCACTAGAAGTGTACTGGCTTGCCACCCTAATCGTACCCCACCACACAGTTGTGGCTATTATTAATATCTGAAGATATTACCCTTAAAATACATTTGTAATGGTTTTTTGGGGGCAGATGATGCTTTCAAATTGGGTTTATTTATTTTTAATGTGTATCAGGTGATGTGGGGAATCTGTGAACTCCTCCAAAGTTTATTTTCTGTACAGTGCTGGATTCTTTTCTACTCCTACTTCTGACTCATATTTCACCATGTCCAAGTTCTCACCCCACCTACAAAGGTGCCCTTAAGAAGTGCATTCAACTTGGCTCTTGCAGTGTGTCATCCTGTCTCATTCTGAGACTATATTTAACTGTTACACCACGAGTGAAGACACAGAAGAGATGACGCGTTACATTAACACCTAGTCCCTTCTCCTCTCCTTTCTTTCATTAGCACCTCCTGTGTTTGTTTTTTCCCCTGCCTGTTCTCTCCACCTCAGAGGTGTCATTTCTGCTGCAAGTAAAATGCAATTAGTATGCACAGGTATTCAGTGCTGAGCATCTAACACCCGGAGACATGCAGACAACAACAAGCATCTGCTTGAAGCTATTGAATTTCAGAAGCCGGAAGGGTGTGAAGAATAGACTTTAATACCTGTGTGTGGACCACGGGTGAATGTTTGTATTCCTGTATATTAAAAGCATTCTTTGATCTGCTGTCTCCAGTGAAGAAATCGTGATAAACAGCAACATGAGTGCTCATACTATTCTAATTCAGATCTGCTTAGCAGAGTTCCAGATGGATCCATTTCAGTGACAATATTATGAAGGAACTAATAAAAACTAAAGGCACTGATATATATATGAAGATAATCTTAGGAGAGAAGAACAAATAGACTGAGTGCCAGCTATGAATCTTTTTATAAGAATTTACTGTTGATCAGTCTTTTGAGCTTTTTCTGTCGTTCTTGAAAGTGTTTGTATTATTATAATTCTGCATGTTATAGTGTAGAATTTATATTTGCACTAAAGATGACGACTCGTTTGTGTTCTACAAAACAAGAAGAAACCCTGCCCCCCCCACAAAATTCAAGGGTCAAATATTTATTTATTTTTTTTGTCAATTTGCTTCTTGTACAGGACATTCGAGAGAATCAAAATTCTGTTTCTCTTTCACCTTCATATAAAGAAAAAATGAGAAAAGATGAAGCACTCGCCAGGGAATACATAAAAAGGAAACCTAAAAAGAATAGTGGTAGTAGTGGAAAATATAAATAAAGGAATAGAATAGCTTGAGAGATGTACAATAATGGTAGTGCAAATGGCCAACAGGAAAGCTGCTTTTGCGAAGCTTTGGTTGAATCTGTTGAACTGTAAAGAATGTTTTTTGTTTTGTTTGTTTTTTCATGTGGAAATATAGTTGGTAGCACAGTTTTAGCTGAAGTGTGTGCGATAAGAGGTGATGCGCCCGTTTGGTCAGTCCTCGTGCTCTCACACCTCCTCCTTCCTTTTAACACCCTCGCCAGATTGTGGGTTATAGATTTAAATCCTGCAGCAGGTAGTTCTGTAAGTCTAAAAATGTAAATGTTGCTGTGAGGCGATGCTTCTAGGAATTTGATGTCTTTAGTCGTTTTGTTTCCTTTTATAGCAACATGCAGCCTGTTTCTCTTTACCATAT